GATTTGAGTCTCCTAAAGCTATGGGGATGTGCTGCCTATGTTCATGATCCTTCCCATAAATATGAAAAATTAGGTCCAAAGGGGAAGAAATGTATCTTCATAAGATACTCAGAACATTCAAAGGGATACGTCTTCATAGGAGAACAAGAAAGTGGTAGCATCACTGAGTTTAAATCAAGATGTCATATTCTTAGAAACCGATTTTCCTAAGAAAGGCGAGATAAGTCAAGACTTATTTCTATATGAAACACAAGACCAAGACAATTATGTTGCCAAAAATCAGTTGGTTATACATCCCAGTGGGAGTGATATGGAAGTTGATGAATCAGTTTCAGATCCTTCATCATTCCCAACTGACAATCCAACTATGATAGCTGGTCCAAGTGAGAGTAACACCAATCAATCTCCAATACGTCGATCAAACAGGAAACAAATTCCATGTCGACGATTTGAGATTGACGGGGAAATTTTTCTAGTTACTCCACAAGATGAAGAAGACCCAAGGAATGTAAATGAGGCTTTCAATTGCCCTTCTAAGGAAAAATGGATGAAAGCAATGGAAGAAGAATTGGAGTCTATAAAATCAAACCAAGTATGGGAATTGGTTGATTTACCAAAAAGACAAAAAGCCATTGGGAACAAGTGGATTCTCAAAATCAAGCGAAAAACTGATGGCAGTATTGAAAGATACAAAGCTCGCTTAGTCGCAAAGGGGTATACACAACAAGAAGGAATAAATTATGAAGAAACTTTTTTGCCTATTGTGCGGTTTACCTCAATCCGACTTATTCTAGCTATAGTTGCTAGTATGGATCTTGAATTGCATCAAATGGATGTAAAGACTGCTTTTCTCAACGGAGAATTACGAGAAGAAATCTATATGGAACAACCAATAGGTTTTATTAGAGAAGGTCAAGAACACAAAATGTGTAGACTTTTAAAGTCAATTTATGTCCTCAAGCAGTCCTCGAGATAGTGGTATATTCGATTTCGTAATGCAATAATGTTGTATGATTTCAAAATGATAAATGAAGATCACTGTGTATATACAAAGAGATCCAATAACAAATTTGTTATATTATCATTATATGTTGATGATATACTTATAGCTTGAAATGATAAGAGATTTGTCAATTAAATCTAAGGATGGTTATCATCTCATTTTGAGATGAAAGATATGGGTGAAGCTGCATATATTCTTCGAGTCAAGATTTCAAGAGATCGTTCAAGAAAATTAGTATCTCCTTCACAAGAACCATACATTAAGAAAATTCTTGAACGATTTCATATGCAAGATTGTAAACCCATAGACAACCCTATCGCGAAAGGCAAGACTTTGAGTCATAAAATGTGTCCGAAGACTCCACAAGAAAAGGAAAAAATGAAGAATATTCCTTATACAAGTTATGTTGGAAGTCTCATGTACGCCATGATGTGCACTAGAGTCGACATCTGTTATACCGTTGGGTTGATAAGTAGATATCAGTCCGACCCAAGACAAGCATATTGGAAAACAGTGAAGAGAATCTTGAGATATCTAAAAGGAACAGCTGATTACTCATTATGTTATCAATGAAATGATTTACACTTGAGAGGCTACACCGATGCTGATTGGGGAGGAGATTTAGATGAAAGGAAATCTACTTCCGGATATGTTTTCTTACTAAATGGTGGGGTCATATCTTGGAGCAGTAATAAACAATCATGTATAACCTTATCTACAATGGAGGCTGAGTTTGTAGCATTTTCAACTGCAATGCAAGAAGCCGTTTGGTTGAGACAGTTCATAAATCATCTGGGAATAATTAATGTTGCTATTGAACTAGTAAGAATAAACTGTGATAGTCAAGCTGCAATAGCATACACTAAGGATCTCAAATATCATGGTAAAACGAAACACATAGATATCAAATATAATTTTGTGCGAGACTTGGTGGCACAAAAGGAGGTGAACATGAAGTACATATCTATGCATGACATGGTTGCGGATCCATTTACAAAGCCTATACCAAGAGATACTTTCAATAGACATGTTAGATCTCTAGGCTTACGTAGGTGTTGAATGTACTCATACTTTGAGATTTCCCAAAATTGTTCATATCTGTCTTATCAATATTAGATACCAATATTGTCAATGCTTAATTTCGATTATTATGGAACATACATGAAGGAGGTTATATATATTTATTTATTTATTTATATATTTTGAAAAGCATGTCGGACAGTTAAAAGATTGGCCTTCTCACACAGGCAATCGCCTCCATTACTTCGTAGGAATGGAGATGAGACAATTTTAAGCTTATTATCTAGGTGATAATAGAGAGTCAAGCTTAAAATGTTTAACATCGCCTAAAAATAGAATTAAAATAATGTCATAATGAAATGTGACCATAAGTGATAAATGATCACTTTATCTGTCTAATTGCCAGATTAGAGTTCTGATGAATTAAAAGTATGTAAAGTAAACTCAAGTTAGACATTAGGTTTTTCTTAACTAAAATCTGTATGACATTTATAAGAAAAGAGACATGCACTCCATGGGAAAGGAAGAAATGTTGTAGCATGTGATTTATACCACATGTGCAAAACATTGACCAAATGGGTAATGAAATTCAAAATCTCAACTTTAACATTGTGTGAGACTCTGAGATTTTAAAAATAAAATCTCATAGAATGCCCTCATTACTCTATTCTGTTTCTTGAATACCTCATTTAATGATTGCTATCTTAGAGTGTTACCAAAAGATTAAGATAAATTCAATCTGCTGGAACATTTCTAGAAAAGCAAGTTAAATGAAAGTTGCAAGAATCGAGAAAAGAGGAAGATTACGATTTGAATTATCACACTATAATCATGTGTATTCATTGGTAGACCAATTATGTTTTGCTTTTATGTAAAGACAGAACATAATTATGAATACAACTGATATTTATTATAAATGAGATTGTTAGAAAAAATGTGATAAGTAGTCTAGGGTATTGTATACAACATACAACCTAAGTTTCACAATTCGAGAAGTCACATATTCCTAACAGATATATGACTAATGTGCTCTTGAAGTATGCATGGTCACACGACATATTTACTAAAGTATGAACCTTAAAGAAGCACAGAGAGAGATAGTCCGATCATGTGTGAGTGGAAGATATTGGATAAGGGTGAGCACCCATGATGGATTAACCCAAACAACGTGTGAAGTGGAAACTACCAAAGGCAGTTTTCGCTTAAAAATTTGCTTGGTAACTGCCGTCCATATATAAATAAAGTTTTTTCTTTTAGAAAAAAAGATACACACTCTCTCTCTAAAAAACATTGTTGAAGAAAATTCTCTATGGTAGTTTTTTCTCTCCAAATTCAACTTTTGCTTTAGAGTTAAGGAGAAGAGGTATTTATGCTGTGAAATATATTGTAATTCGTTTATGTAAAAAATGTGATTGCAATGGGTGATTATTAACATGATCTTGGGATTAGTTTAGAATATTTGTTATTCTGAATTTTTTTCCAACAATATCTAATATGCTAACAATCCCAAGAGAACAACCAACCCGAGACAACTCAACAAGTTGGGCAAGAAATTCAAGCACAAGCCAAAACCGAGAAGAGGGAAATGAGGACTAAGCCTTAGGTAACTTACTAGAATCAATGGCCAAGAATCATTCAAGCTTAAAGGAAACTCCACCAGCTTAAATTAATCCACCTCCAAGTCTAGGCCGAACTTGGATAAAGGAAGAGCCAAAGAAGATTTCAATCTCCATGGAAATGCTATTCATCATGTATTCATTCATGGCTTTATAAAATGAGAGTCTCACCTTTATATAGGCATTACAAATATCGAAATTGCCCTTTATAAGATATTACAAGTAAAAATTAAGGGCTTAATTCTCCACCATACATTCAAAACATAAGGCCGTAACCATTTAATGCTAAAAGACAACCTCTCTTGAACTAAGGATCTATGTCCCTACCCTCTAATTGACTTGACTAACTTCCCTCGATTTGAATCAAATAACACCCATTTATTGGACTTGGGCCAAAGGGATCCCTCCACACATGAAGCTCACGGTTTGGACCAATAAAAAAGGCTTGAGCAATATCTTGAACTTTCAGCACTCCATGGACAAGTTTGTAGACTTCCTTGAGGGAATTAGCTTATTGGTGCACTTCTTGCAAAGCTTGGGCTTCTTGGCTTTTAAATGGGAACTCTTGCACAACTAAGGAATTAAGTTGGCCCATAATCTCATCAGTTTCAATTTCTATTATTTATCAATGATACGAGACCATTCCAAGATGGGTTTGGGATGATAGACAAGGCTAGGACCAAGTTTTGTAACATATAATACAAGATGAGTTTGGATGGAAGGCTAGCCAGGACAATAGAAAAATATGGGGTTTTATTAATTTTATATTCATTTTTTAAATTAATGACATTAATCTCCCTTAAGCATTCTACAACAACAAAAACTCTCCCAACATTTTGAAAACTAGAGAAATCACGTTGTCTTTAAGTTCTAGATGTTAAAATAAGCTACAAGAGGACAGTAACATCTTCTTTTGTATGAAAAATTTTATATATATTGTATATAATAGTATTACTGAATTATTTTCAGCTACAAATTTATCATTTATTATACATTCTTTCCATACAAACTATATCTATAGGCTGTAGCCCAATGGCTCTAATCTAACCGAGGAGCAGATAGTTTTCCTAAATGTTAATCATGAGAACGCATTTCTCATGTACCTCCTTATTTGAAAAAAAAAAAAATTTATGTAATCCTTTGGAGTTTGGATATAGCTCCTCAGATAATTTACGACTAAGACTCGTTTTTCACTCACAAATTAATCTCTAAAACTAACAGCCGTTATCTAAAACATGATTTTTATATAAAGTCTAAACTACCCCAAGAAAACCATCCACGCGCCTAACTTCAACCACCCTCCTCGCAAAAATTAAAAACCACAAAAAACAGCCACTTGCACCACCGTATGAACCACCCAAACAAGTTTGTCTGTCAAACGTTCTATTGCCACAGAGGAAGAGAAGGATCTTCGGAAAGGGTCCCTAATTCCGCGAGACCTTTCGATATGCTCTAACGCTACTTCGCCTGTGAACTTGGATAGCCTTTCACCATTCCTTTCATCCAACTCAACACATTTCACCAAATTTTCTTTAATCCGAAAATCTGATTTGCTTAAAAAATTATGCTTGGGGTACTCATCTAATTCAACGGACCGGAGATGAATGCGAAGTTGTAAAGTGGCTGGGCCTTCGACGTCGACGTTGGAGAGTGCTGGGATTGTCAACGATTGACGATTGGAAAGGGGTGACGAAGGGGTTTCGATTTTGTAGTTACGGTGCTAGACTTTTTGATTGATCTTGTAATTGCGGGCTTGGTTTTTTATTTCTTCTGTTCTATTAAACATATTTTTTTTATTCTTGTAAATTTTAAAATTTTTTGGCGGTTTTCTATTTTAAAAAGTTTTAGTTAATGAGAAAAGTCGGATGTGTACTCGCTCCGTTTATTTTAGGCTAACCGCTAACGTTTGTCGGAGACGATTTTACAAGCAAATATTGATGGGTCCATTAGTGGACCAAATAGGGACTACAATGTAATTAACCCTCCTTAATTTGATTTTATTTCTTATGCTAACTCGCATTTAATTTTTGCCTCAATTATGGAGCGAAGAATGGAGGATCAGAAGTCAAATAAGCTGTTGATACTCTACGCCTCGCAAACCGGTAACGCATTGGACGCCGCCGAGCGTGTCGGCCGTGAAGCCGAGCGCCGAGGCTGCCCCGTTGTTATTCGTTCCATGGACGACTTTGATGCTGTAAGTCTATTTTTCAATTTAGATTTCTCGGTATTGCTGAGAAAAATTTAGGGAAAGATTATTTTACTTTCTCTTTTGTTTCTAGAACTCTAGTAACGCAAGTTTTCTTTTGTATTTTGTTACATGAACCTTCACTTCATTTCATTTCATTTAGCTACAGCAAAGCCTGTCCAATGTATATTTTGTTAAACAGCTCATTGAATTAGGTTTTCGTTTTGGCCTCTTTTGAACTAATCACTCTGCATGCAACAATATGTACCGAATTTTCCATCCATTAGCAAAAGAACTATGATACTGAGATAGTTCTACACAAGTCTTACTGAAAAGACATGTCCGGTGTCCTATAAGATTATTATCAAACTCGAGAGGTATGAGATTGTTCCATTTTACAGAGGTTGGGATTAATATTTTATATTTATTTAGGCTTTTTTACTTTATACAAGTTTTATTGTTGTTTAATTTAAAACAATTATTGAAATTTGTACCCGTCATCACACATTACATAATTTTTAGGACTCTTTACAGAAGTTGTTAGAGGTAATAGTTCCTTATGATAAAATAATCTACTAGTTAGATTCTTACAAGAATCATTTAACATTAACGGAATGCCTTAAACTTTACTTTTTCTTTTTGGTTAATGATTGCCTGATAGTTCATCAATTCTCATATTTACACATTACTCATTTCCTTTTGTCTTAGGGATCCTTGCCTCAAGTGGACACTGCAATCTTTGTTGTTTCTACCACAGGCCAGGGAGATACTCCGGATTCAATGAAGGTTGGATAGAATTATATCCTGAATGCCATTTTCGTATACTTCCTTTTCCTTTGCATGTCACCCAAATGGTTGGGTTTAGCCCTTTGTCTTTACTAATGCCTTCCATTATATGTGTAGGTGTTTTGGAGGTTTCTTCTGCAGAAATCTTTGAAAAAGCAATGGCTGAAAGGTGTTCATTATGCTGTATTTGGATTGGGTGATTCTGGCTACCAGAAATTCAATGTAATAATTGTTTGAATTCTTTTTATAATTAGGAAATTACTGTATTTTTCCTGTGTTGGATTTTGAATACGTATAATTAAACTTGCATAGATATATGTTTCTGGTTTCTCCTCATTTTTTAATTTTATAATACAAAAATAGGTTCTTTTTCCTAAAGAAACAAAGAAAGGCTATATATGTCTGATTTCTGAATATCACACTATTATCTGCATAATGAGAGGAATCATTGTTGTACCAATAGTTTGTACATTCTTCGTTATCTTTTTATTCAATCTGTTTAATTGTTTGTTGAATTGGATTTCCTTTGTGTGAAAAATACTTGGATTTTATGCTTTCCATTTTATGATTTATAAATCATAATGTTTTAAATTTCTTTGATGCTATACATTCCAAGTTTTTATCACAACTTTTATTTTCCAAGTAATGTGGCACAAGTCAATCATTGTCACATCCTTTCTCATATTATTTCATCATCTATGTCGCACTAATCAATTAATAACATATCTCTTGGGATCTAAAAATTGGGATACATAGTACTATTCAATTTGGAAACTTTGGTTGACATAACATTTCAATTTTGAGAAATCTGTTTGTTGATGGCTGCAGTTTGTTGCAAAAAAGCTTGATAATAGACTTTCAGATCTTGGGGCTATGGCTATTGTTGAAAGAGGTTTAGGAGATGATCAGCACCCTTCTGGGTATGGTTACGGTATAATTTATTTTAAAAGAAAAAGATATTGCTATATTGACAAGGTTCATGACTATTTTCATCTTTCAATTTTTTTTCCTGCTTTACATGTTTTGGATTGAGTGATTATGATTAGCTGGCACTGATGCTTGACAATATGATTTGTCATTTGGAACGTGGGGAATACATCTTGTATTGGTCAATTGAATTGAAACCTATGTGTGTTCCTAATGATGATAATTGCATGGAATTGGATGCTCTTTATGATTAATTATCGACATATAAAAATTTGTTTCAATTTTCATGAAGTTATCCTTTCTGCTGTAATGATTATGCCCTTCAAGTTGCATAGAACAGTGCACATGATGACATGAAGACTGATTTCAGGACGAAGCAACAAATAGTTTCTTGATTGACTACTATATCTGACTATTAAGTGTTAGAAAACTTATAAAATGTTAAATTTTGTGCTGAAAATGGTTAAATTTTGAATGAGATGATAGTCATTTATGTGATCTGGGCAAATTTTGGACCTGTGTAATATTTTCTTGTTTCTCACTATTGCATTCCAATGTAACCATATAGAAGTTGAAATGCAGAGGTTATGATCTATTACATTGTTTCTTATAAATTATCTGAAATAGAGATCAAAATGAATTTTATGTTTTGATGTAAATTGAAGTGATGATATCAGATGATTGTGGACATAAAAGCTGCTCTATAAATTCAAATATATATTTTGTTATTTAGCTTTCATGTCCCTAGAATATGGTCGGCATTATTTTACTTGCAAAGGGAGTGGATATGTCATAAATTCCAGTTGTTCTTCTCTTGTTTCTAACATTTGCTGCAACAAAAATGTGTTTTGATTATTGTTCTCTCAAGTTAAGTGCAATGTCTTGGGATGAAAAAAAATTAATTGAGAAGTTTATTTACTTCCATAGGTATGAAGGTGCTCTGGATCCGTGGATGCAATCTTTGTGGAGTAGGTTGCATCAAATTAATTCTTCATTCTTCCCACAAGGTCCAGATTTTGTGATACCGGACATAAAATTAATTGGACAACCAAAAGTTCACATCACATATCATAACATTGGTAACGCAGATTCCCGATTATCTATTGCCTCAGGTAACTAAAATCTTTTGATTTTCTTGGTGATTGCCAACTTCATGTTTTATTTACCATGTCATTTGTTTCTTGTTTATAATAATTTGGTCACCTATTCTTATGAGAGTGGGCTGTTTCTTTTATTGTTTCTGGTAAATGATGTGTGTTTTAAAGTCATTACACATGTAAGGACAAGTATTGTGGTTTCTTTATTTGAATGTGTTGTTTGGAAGAAAGCAAAAAGATATTACATTTTGAGGTGCTGTGTTTTTTTAGCATTGTGCATCATTTTATTTTTGGTGGCAATTCAAATTACCACCATAATTTTGTGTGTCGATTTTTCATCCATCTACATTCTTGAAAATTGTGGCATGTCACTCTCTTTTTTATTATTTTATTTTCTTCTTCCTTTTTTCACTCAGATTGTCATTTATTTTTAATTTTAAGTGAATAAAAAAATGACTGGACTCTTTAGCTGTCAAACCATGTTATGACTGCCACTTTATGTTGGGGAGAGTTGTGATTAACTGTTAACTTTCTCCTTCACGGCCTTTCTTCAATATCTGTGAAGCTATTTTCTGAATTCGGGCAATGCTGTTTGATTTGAAAAATGTTTATATTCATTTTTGAATTTCTAAGTTACATTAGAGTAACTATTAACTTCTAACTCCTGTTGTTTATAACAGATTTGAAAGGTATCCGGACACAACTTGAGAGCGCACGTTCCATGTCTCCTGGAAAATTCTCCAGTTACAAGAATAAGCCTGATTGCTTTCTTAAAATGGTATTGGTAGTATGACCTATTTTGGTTATTTAACATTATGCTGTCATATTCCAGCAACTATCAATTGTGTTAGCCGATATATGGTGTGATGCTTTTTGTTGCTGAATTTGTGGTATATTTTATACTGAGCATTATTTTGTGCTCACCCCGTTGTTTTTCTTTGTGTTTGCAGGATCTAGGTGAGGACGCGGTCGGATGGGCATCGGCAAGCGAGGAGTAATAGCTACACTGTCCACTATTTTTGATAAGCTTTACTTATGATGCCTTACTTTGTATAAAGAATGATTAAATGTATTAAAAAAAAAATTGTGGGCCCATTTACTTTTGCTAATATAAATATATTTACGTGATGTATTTCTATACGTATCCTAGTATGAAGCAGTTATTACAAGGTGAACATGAAGTACATATCTACGCATGACATGGTTGCGGATCCATTTACAAAGCCTATACCAAGAGATACTTTCAATAGACATGTTAGATTTCTAGGCTTACATAGATGTTGAATGTACTGATACTTTGAGTTTGTCTTATCAATATTAAATAACAATATTGTCAATGCTCAATTTCGATTATTATGGAACATACATAAAGGAGTGTATATATATATATATACACACACACACACACACACATATTTGTTATGTAAATATTATATATGTTTATTTTGAAAAGCATGTTGGACAGTTAAAAGATTGGCCTTCTCACACAGGCAATCGCCTCCATTACTTCATAGGAATGGAGATAAGACGATTTTAAGCTTATTATCTAGGTGATAATGGAGAGCCAAGGTTAAAATATTTAACGTCGCCTAAAATAGAATTAAAATAATGTCATAATGAAATATGACCATAAGTGATAAATGATCACTTTATCTGTCTAATTGCCAGATTAGAGTTTTGATGAATTAAAAGTATGTAAAGTGAACTCAAGTTAGGCATTAGGTATGTCTAAACTAAAATCTATATGGCCTTTACAAGAAAAGGGACATGCACTCTATGGGAAATGAGGAAATGATGTAGCATGTGATTCATACCACATGTGTCACATGTGCAAAATATTGACCAAATGGGTAATGAAAGTCAAAATCTCAACTTTAACATTGTAAGAGACCCTGAGATTTTAAGAATAAAATCTCATAGAATACCCTTATTACTCTATTCTGTTTCTTGAAAACCTCATTTAATGATTGCAATCTTAGAGTGTTATCAAAAGATTAAGATAAATTAAATCTGCTAGGACATTTCTAGAAAAGCAAGTTAAATGAAAGTTGCAAGAATCAAGAAAAGAGGAAGATTACAATTTTGAATTATCATACTATAATCATATGTATTCATTGGTCGACGAATTATGTTTTATTTTTATGTAAAGACAAAACATAATTATGAATACAATTGATATTTATTATAAATGAGATTGTTAGAAAAAAGATGTGATAAGTAATCTAGGGTATTGCATACAATATACAACCCAAGTTTCACAATTTGAGAAGTTATATATTCCTAACAGATATATGACTAATGTGCTCTCAAAGTATGCATGGTCACATGGTATATTTACTAAAGTATGAACCTTGAAGAAACACAGAGAGAAATAGTCACATCATGTGTGAGTAGGAGATATTGGATATAGGTGGGACACCCATGATGGGACCCACCCAAACGACGTTTCAAGTGGAAACTAACAAAGGCAGTTTTGGCCTAAAAAAACTGCTTAGCAACTGCCGCCATATATAAGTGAAGAAATTCCTTTTAGTTTTTTTCTTCACTCTCTCTCTAAAAAAATTTGCTATAAAGAAAAATACACTAAGGTGGTCTTCTCTGAAGATTCAATTTTTTGCTTCAGAGTTAAGGAGAAGAGGTATTTATGTTGTGAACTTCATTGTAATTCGTTTATATAAAATGTATTACAATGGGTGACTATTAACATGATCTTGGGATTAATCAGAATATTTGTTATTCTGACTTTTTCCAACAGAAACTAATATACATTATGACATTTACGTTAACTAATAGATTTTAAATGTTTATTATCGGTGAAAAATACTTATAATCAAGCATCAAGTAAATATAAACAAATATATTGTTTAATGTCTTGCAGTTAGATCTTAGACCTATCTAGTAGTTAGACATATTCAGTCGTCACAAAAATTATCAAATGCCACTGAAGTGAATCAAGAAATCTAATTCTTTTTTACTTTTTACTTGATGAAAAATGTATGAATAATTTGTTTAAATTATTTTGATAATATTGTCATTATTTAGTAGCAACAACTACGCACATGTCCAATTAAATAACTCTTTTTATACTTACATCATATGCCAATACTTTTTCACTTTAAAATCTCTACATTTTAGCATATTATATTCTTCCATAGAACATTTTAATTCAACTTGGTATTTATATTTAAGTTTAAAAACTCAAAACATCGTTTAAATTGTATTTCATAAAAGTTATTTAAATAACAATACAGTTAACATCATGTGAGCATATATATCAAAATATAATTTTGAGAGGATAAGGATGAAACTTGATATGTTATTATGTTATTTAATGTGTTATGTAATTTTAATTTTAGAAGGATGAAATGGATATTAGAATAGTTGTAATTTTTGTAAAGTCAGTAAGGGGTATTTGTCATTTCAGAAAACTGTTAGGGGTGTAATATAATTTTATAAGGGTTTATTTGTCATTTTATAAAAAAATAGGGGATAATTGATATTTTTAGATATCCAGAACCAAAACCAGAATCTATAACACATGTTCCGATTCCATGTTTTTGTGAATCGGAACTGATGGTTTCGATTTTTGTTCCAAATCAAAGAAACCAACCGGTTCTAGCTCCTTTAATTTTGGACAGGTACACCCCTTGTCTAAAAGGTGTTCCATATTTAAATAACCTTATCTCCATATCTTCAATTCATGATATGTCATATCACTGCCATTAATGAATTTTTCGGTTAATTACTATTTTTTTTCAAAACTTTTTTTTTTTTTTTTTTCAAACAGCATCACTCTCTGTTTTACTTATTTCCATTCATTTAACATCACATCACTTTTTTTTTACCTCATTAGGGTATCTCTAAGAGTATCTCTAATATTACTCTTTATTTTGAAGAGCATCTTTCGTATAAATAAAGAACATCTTAATTAATTTTTAAATATAAAGAACATAATTTTTATTCAAATCCAATATACTCTTTAAATTTAATAAATATGCTCTTTATTTTTAAGAAAAAGACTTAATGAGAGAGAAATTAATAAATAAAATGCATAGGAACTTATAGTTTATTAATTAAAATTATGATAGAGAGTGAAATTTGACTCTCTAAATGTGGAGATCAAACTCACTCTCTAATTTATATTTTAAAGATAAAAAGTACGTTAAACTCTTATTTTTATGGATAGACTCTTTATAATAAAGAGTTTGGATCATATAAAGGGTCATTTGAAGATGCTCTAATGGTGCTCTTTATTTTAAAGAGTATATTTGATATAAATAAAGAATATCTTCATTGATTTTTAAATATTATGAACAAAATTTTTGTTTAAATCCAATAGACTTTTTAAATTTTAGGAGAGATAATATATTTTTTCAAGAATGAAACTTAATAGGAGAGATAAATCATAAATAAAATGCATAGAAATTTACAATTTATTATTTAAAATTAGGATAAAGAGTGAAATTTGACTCTCTAAATGTGGAGAGTCAAACTAACTCTTGAATTTATGTTTAAAGAATAAAGAGTCTGTTGAACTCTTATTTCTATAAATGTACTCTTTATAATAAATAGTTTGGGTTATATAAAGAATCTTTTGGAAATGCTCTTACCCTTGGTTTATGACAATAAACCTGCAAATATACAAAAGTTTTTTGTTATTCTAATACAATGATGTCACCGGTCCAACCCCCGATCAAACTTGTTGGACCAATCAACCTGGGACTTGGGCCTTTGACCCGGTCAAGGCCTAGGCCGGGTTTTTACACATTGTTTTTATTATTGTGTCTTCTTGCTGTCCAAAAGGATTGGATAGATTTTATTTTCTAAATTTCAAAAACCACTCTATCAGAGCTAGTTTCAATCTTGGGAACTGTTCATGCTTCCATTTCGCTGCTTTGATTGTTAAAAATATGAGTAATGCTACAATCATCGGGAGTAGTGCACCGAATCTGTGCACCAAATGACGTGTCTCAATCCTTACCGTCGATTAATATTAAGTTATAATTAATCGACGGTCAGGATTTTGTTACGTCATTCTGTGCATAGATTTGGTGCACTTCTCCCGGTGTCTCTATTATTTTCCTAAAAATATTATTGTATAAATGATTAAATGTGTTTCAAAGAGAAAAAACCAATTACCCACCTTAACTTTTCAAAAAAGCCAGAGTTTTCAATCAGATTTCACGATTTTAATCAACTTTCCCTAAAACTTTTTAAAAATCTATCAAGTTACCCCCAAATCAATGACCGCGCTAAGAAAGCTATTTACTCTTGGTCAAGAAGGAAGAAAAAGTCTATTATGCTTTTTTTTGTCTTTTTTCAGGCTGACTGAATACTCACTCTTGATTTCACAAATATGGTATTTCTTATAAATATGTTATTCAGTGAAATTTTAAGAAATACCATACCTCTTACAAATTTTAAGAAATAATATATTTATGAAATTAGGGGTTGCAAATGTATATTTGATAAAGTTAGGATAGCAAATGGAAAAAAAAAAAAAAAAAAAGTTATAACGCACTTTTTCTTCCTTCTCAACCATGAGTTAACAGATTTGTTAAGGACGATACTAATTTGGTCGTTACTTGATGGATTTCTAATAGTTTGGGAGGAAGTTANAAACAAGAAGTATTGAAACACAAAATAATTAACAGTAATTTAATTTAACAAACAAATTTTAGAAATGATATTTATTTAATAAAATATATAAAAAGGTCATTCATTTTGTTTTTTGTACAATTAAATAATAGATATAAAATTTATGAGTAACGTTATAACACTTCTCACTAACTT